GGAACGAAACGAGCGGCGTCCAACGGGCGGGAAGGGGAAAGGGTGTGCGGGGGGGGTCAGTGACGTCATCGTCTGCGGCCGGGACGCGGTGGAGTCTTTTTATCGTCCGTACTGCCTTTAGCGGAGGTTGGGGGGAGGGGGTGTACTCACAGCCGTGCACGCCGTAGTCGTTTGACCATCGAGCTCGCATCCCTACAAAGCCGGGAGAGAGCACGCCCGGCTTTTCACCGGACCAGGCTAGCACACGAGGTGGGGCGGGGGAGGAACGCACAACGGAACGTGGGACAACTTTCAAGGCCGCCGTCACCACATCGGTACCCTTGTATCATCCCTACGGAGAGAGGAGGGGGGAGAGGTCGACGGATGGAAACTGGTACCGCATGTGTGGCATGGGAGAGGAGAGGTTGCCGAGAATAGCTAGGGAGGCCAATTGGGCAAACAAGAAGAGGGACAGACAACCCACAGAGTGGGTCAAGGGTTGTAGATGACGTACATGTATGGAAGTAATTAGAAATTGACGAAGGTGATACGCTGGAAACGGAAGGTCTAGAGGGGTTCAAGGAGAAGATATCTGTTGCGTTTGCCGAGAGAGCACAGAATCTAACCAAAGGAACCAAAGATAAGGAGGGTGTAGATGTGCACGGAATGTTGGAAGAAGAAATAGGGTCCAAGGATTACGTACGTGGACCAATGGATGCAGGGAAAAGCTGAAGGTCAAACTTAGGACCGGGAACCCTGGCCTTCGAGAACGTAGACCCAAGATTTAGGAAGCTAGACGATGAAGACGACAAATTCAAATGTGACTCCGGCTCCGAGTGCGGAGACCGGGTTCATGTAGTTGCGGAATGTACGTTGTACAAGAAGAGAGGGAAGTGTACATGACTGAGATGGGAAAAACAGAAGGAAATTACAGGTAGATGTTTGAGGCATGGGATAGCCAGGAGAAGACGGTAGCTGTACTGGGGCATTATAGGAAGTGGGTTGAAAAGGCGGGAAGTGACATCGACAGGATAGTACAGGCTGGGGAAGACATTTTTGAGCCACCTTTGGCAAAGTAGGAAGGAACGATTGGCCATCGGTGATCGGTCCGGTGGGAACAATGCTCCATCCTCCCGAGGACGCGTGGTCAACAGGGCAGTAACCGCTAAGGCACGCAAAAAAAAAAAAAACGAGTACCCCCCGTCTCGCATGCCTCTACCCCATACCCGCGACCAGCTTGTGGCTTGCCCGTCCGCGCTTGGCCTTCCCACTTCTACTCGAAACCCCTAAAGCAGCACTCCTCACCTCCACTAGGAAGCCCTTCTTGGCGAGGCTCCAGTCACGAACGTTGGTGCCGAACGTGAAGGCTAGCACCGGCCCCATGATGGGAGAAACCTTGACGCAAAAAAAAAAAAGTCGGGGGAGGAGGGGGCGGAACGGTTGGATCGATTTACGAATAATTAGCACACCTTTGCCTCGGGAGTGTCACGAGAAAAAATCGTCACGGTGGATGCGACGACTTGTGATATGCACCAACGCGCTGCCGTCTTGAAAGAAATAAAAAACTGCAGAAGGGGGGCCAGAACACAGCCAAAAAGCTGAAGCAGGAACCCTCCCAATCCTCGGGGGGGATAAAGCAATCTCAGCGGCAAATGTGTTTAACCAGGCCCTGTTTTCCACTCGAAGCGACCACACCCAGCGAAACGAAAAGTGTTTGTGCTTCAGGAATAGTGAAACAAAAGCAGTTGCACTTTTAAGGAATCCCGTAAGCGTAGGACATCGCATGTGCCACAATCAACACTTGAACTCACCAGCATCGCGGCGACGACGACGGCAACATTGTCCGTGGCCAGCCCCATGGCCGAGATCGCAGAGGAGGCCACCAGGAGAGCCATGTAGTCGAAGTGGCACTTCGTGCCTTCCCGGATCTCTTCCGTCACCTGTTACCGTACCGCACCGTACAGCAGTACGACGGAGTAGGGGGAAAAATAGAAACATCTTTTATTTTGTACCCCAAAACCATTTATATTTGAGTGCGTCATTGTCCAGGTGCCGCATATTTGGTGAGATAGTCCGTGACCACGGGAATCGCAGCAGTACGACGGAGAAGAAAAAAACACAATTTTGGTATGCTATCCACAAACAAATTTTATTGGAGTATACTCCCGTATTTTAGTGTAAGCTAGCCTGTCACCACGGGAATCGACCGCGTTAAGAGTTAGGTCAGTACCGACAGAAGGAGGTAACATAGGCAGACAGATCGCAACCGTTTGTAACTGAAGACAACAACAACAAATGCGCCAAATAAATCAACAAAGATACATCGTTCGCAAACGCGTGGCCCGTTGGTGAGCTTTTTTCATCGGAGGACATCAGGTTGTCGCGAAAGAAAAATAAGTCTCGGTAAAAGGAGCGCATAGCGCTGTGGTGGAGCTTACGCCAAACCCTTTTCACTTGAATTTAGGTAAGTGTGATTTTTTATCTTGATTTCAAAGGAGGCGTGTCGAGGGGTAGACGCGTGAAATATATGGAAATAGTTAACAATAGCCAATTCTCGATGGTGGCCACGAAATATGAGGGAAAAAACGCAAATGGGGACCAAAAACTAACAATTTCTTGGCTGCGCCGACAAGAGATCCACAACGCTGCCCGAACACATCGACAACAACAACAAAAATTGCCCAAAAACAGGAACACAACACCCATCTTGCTCATTTACTTCACCCAAGCAAGCAGTTGGCACTTGCTCTGCAGAGAGGGGGTGTGGTATGCACCAAGCCGTTCACGCAGTCTTATATGATCGCCCTGCCAAACCTAAAAGGCGAGCAAACACGCCGAAAAAAACTCGACAAACCCCGGCTACACATGTGCAGCTGCTACTTTCTGCGCCTATCTGCCGACACAAGCAACACACACAGTCTCTTTCCATCCGGAATTGTTAGGAAAACATGAAGAGCCCGCAGGGCACGTGCGCCCCGGATCTCAGAAGACATGCCAGTCCGCACCGAGGACGCCCGCCGTCAACCCGAAGAAGAGCCTACCTACCTACCTACCTACCCAGCCACGAAACCCCCGTCACGTACATGCCAATTGAGATATATTTTGTTGTGATGCTTTGACAATGTTGAAGGCGACGTCGGACAGCCTCGGGGGCGACTGGTACATTTGTATGGCGTCATATGCAGCGTCTGAAATGGTTGTGTCATTTTCGTGCCTTGTCTCTTCACAATTCATTTCATTAAATGACGAGGAGTTTAGCCATAAGGCACGAAATGCGTGCTGCACCCCGTTCAAGGTTCACAGCCCGGCCTCCAACGTCGCGACAGTCACAACGACGACAACAGCAACAAACGAAAAACAGTAGCAGGCGCCAGCAGCACCAGCAGCAGCACCAGCAGCAACAATGGCGATGCAACAAGCACTCAAAAGCATCAACAACAGCAACACAGAAAAAAAAAAACGTGCACACACACACAAATCTGCATGACCGCCTTCACGTCGTGACCGATGGGGTTTCTACCGCTGTAGGTGAGCGTGCGTACGTTGAACGTGCCCAACGATAGGTCGCCCTCCCGTGCCTTCTTCTTCGCAGCCGCCTCGCGTTGCGGGTGTGCTTTCTTCCGTGTTTTCCGAGCGGCGAGTTTCCTCGCATCAATCCATCTCTGCAGGGCTCTTTTCTCGACCGGTGCGGTAGCTGTTATTTTCTAATTATGTTTTCTATTCCGAGTGGTTTGTACCCTATTTCTGTTTTGTTTCCCCGCGGCGTCGCATGTGCCGGGTTTTTGCGACCACGGGCTCCCCATTTTCGTGAACTACAGAGCTAACGTGAGAAACAACAACAACAAACAACAACAAACACCGCTTCGCACCTGCGTCACCCTGATCTGGGACGCCAGCGCCCGGAACCTCTCGTTCGCGCGCCGCGCTGCGTCCTCCTCCTTCTCCCCCCCCGACCCGTCCACGGAGCCTCTCCCCCCGCTCAAGTCCCCGAAGCGCCCCCCCGTTGCCCGGTTGTGTCGGGCCCGTCTGGCCTTGTCCTCGTCCAGGTCGTCGTTCTCGCGCCGGCGGCGGGTGATGTCGCTGCGGCCAATCTCCATGGGGAGGACGTTCACCGACCCCGTCTCGGACCCGACGCCGACGCTCTCCAGCCTGCGTCGTTTGTTTTGGGTTGGTGCGTGCATTCCGACAGAGAGAGAGAGGGTGGGAGGGAGGGAGAGAGAGGGGAAGGAGGGGGGGGGGCAGAGGGAGAGAGACAGAGAGAGACAGAGGGAGAGAGACAGAGAGAGACAGAGGGAGAGAGAGGTAGATAGAGAGCGAGAGGATCAGAGGATTTCGTCCCACACACTGACGAAGCACGTGAGAAACGTCTACTAAAACTGAATACAACTACACACATGAGGGTCACTTGCGGCTACAGAGAACTCTTTCTCGAAGCCCCCCCCCCCGCCCCCCCTCTACACCCACCCGAGCCAGTCGTACGCTGCCAGGGCGACGTTGCATCGGCTTCCCCTCTCTCCGTCTCATCCCAGTCCAGCTGGACCCTAGCGCTTTCACCGTGGGGTTTCATGCCTTGAGAGGCACCACGCCCCCCATACACTGTCAACTACAGTAGCCCCTTCCCCCCCCCCGAAATAAAAAATCCTTTCCACTCGCAACAGGGTGCTTGCTGTCCACAACTTTTGTTGTCTTCCTACCCCCCTCTTGCCCTCCCATCTTTCAGAGGAGTGCATGCCCTGTGAGGACCAGATGACCCCCCTGCCCCCCCCTCCCGAAAAAAAATATATCTCGCCAACAGGGCGCTGTCTACATTTCGAAACCCACCCCCCCCCTTGGTCCCCCATCTCTCATACCTTGTGAGGACCAGATGAGCATCCTCCACGTCGCACGGGAAGATGCAAGTCATGAGCTTCCCCGACGCCGAGATGTGATACGTCGGCTCCCCGATGAGAAGCTGATCCCCTCTCATCTCGATCAGGATATCCCTCACCAGCAGCTCGATGTCTACTTTCTGCTCTCTCCGACGACAACGACAACGATGGGCGGCGGCGAGAGGCGGGTGTTGTGAGTGTGTGAACTGGACGGCACGATATGATACCATGCCGGGCGATACGACATGGTGTGCCGCGCACACCATGGAGGCCGGAGCAATTGTTGTGGTAGGAGGAGGCACCCACGGGGCGATGGACCAACGGGACTCAACAACGCTACAACGGTCTACTCGGGTACGACCGGGAAGGACGTTCCAAATAGGCATCAGCCCGCAAAAAAAGGGAGTCGGGGCCAATCAGCACAGGCAGCGGCAGCAGCAGCGATCGGCAAAAAACACGCCTCGGATGCATACATGTACAGTAACACACCGAAAACGAACGCGACCCTCATCAACCACACTTCGAAAATCCGGAAAATCCGGTACAGCTCTCTTAGCACACCCATTTGGTCTGTTCTACTTTCATCTTTTCCCTACTTCGTCTACCTCTCTTGAGAACAAAAGAAGACACAATGCTTTTCTGTTATACGTTGTAAAAACAAACAAACAAACAACGAGCTCACCTCGCCCTCGTCCATGTCCTGTGGCCTCGACACGTCAACGTCGTCTCCGTCACCGATGACCTCCGTCACTAATCTACGCTTGCTCCCGGGGGTGGACATCGCCGTGGGCGTGGTCGCCTTCCCGCCTCTCTCCGAATCGTCCATTTGCTCCGGATCCCACCCCTGAACCCCGCCGCCGCCGCCGCCGCCCCCTCCCTCCTCCGCGTCCTTCCTCTCCCCCTCCTCACCCAAGTCTCCTCCCTCTGCTAGCCCGGCCATGCTTGATCGTCTCGAGCTTATCCCGTCCAGGCCTCGGGCTGGGGACGACGTCGGGGACGACGATCGTCGTCTGCCCTCTCTCGAGTAGTCGACGCCGCCGTCAGTATCCTCTGCCCTCGATCGTCGCCGTCCCTCCTGCCCTTCGACCGCCTTCTTCTCGTCCCCGTCTGCCCTCGCCGCCCGGTTCGCGGGGACCCTGTGAGGCTGGTCGTCGGGCCCCCGGCACCGCTCGACGAACACCCCGCCGTTGCCGGCGCTGTCGGCGCCGACAAGCTCTTCGGCGGCGGCGCG